TGCCAAGATGAGATAAGAGCAGAGACTGGAATTTCAGGAAGTCTTGAGATAAGTCCAGTCAGGCTGAGATTGCTGGACACTCCCTGCCTAGATAAGCTGAAGAAGGTTGCTGTCAGAGCAGCTATGTAGTCCTGAAGGAAAGTCATCCAAACTATAAATTTGATATACCCATCTCTACATAGCAAGCGACTAGAGGCAATGCATTTAAGGGTGGTACAGGAAGGATGGAGCTGGGATATCAGTCATTATTGAGTTCAAATCCCCACTTTGTGGCTTTGAAAGATTATATAATTTCTCTGAGTCCGTGTCTGCACATGTCTACATGTGTCTAAACAGGAGTTAATGATAGTTGCCTTTCAAACTTGTTAGGAGAAGGAAATGAGAAAATATAAAGAAATGCCAAGATCTTTTCCAGGCAAAGTGTTGGTGCTTGGGAACTGTGAATTTTTTTTCTAACACAGATTAGAAGTGTCTAAAAAATTAAAAGAGAGTGAGGGATGTGCTATTGAAATTTGAACCCAAATATGTGTACATTTCCGTGGAAGAGCATCCAGACATCACTGTGTGGAAAAAGCGGTAGATGGCAACTTGATTGCACAGTTGAGAGTTGAGTCTGTGTCTAGGTATCTTTTGCAGGCTGCATGTCCCAACTTCCTTGTTATCTGGAAACTGGCACACCTCTGTACCTCTGTAGAGTGACTTGGTGTTCTCTCTCTCTCTCTGTCTCTGTCTCTCTCTCTCTCTGTCTGTCTCCCCTCTGTCTCTCTCTACCTCTCTCAGTCTGCTTCACTGTATCTTCCTTCTCTGTCTTCCTACTCCTTGTTTTCTGCTCTGCCCTGTTTCTAGTTTACCTTCCTGTTTACAGCTCTTTTCTATAATATTTTACTCTATTACTTAGTGTGATTTTTCCCCTCCATCTATGTCCACCACTTCCCCTTCCTCTTCTTTCTGCCTCCTTTCTTCTCAGGGGTTAGGTCTTTTCTCCTCAGACCTTAATGTTTAATCCCCATTAAGCTTGACAATCCTTCATGTGTTAGTCAGAAGGAGGTGACAGCCCCCCTTCTCTCCCTACATTCTGGGCCTGCCAAGATGCTCAGATCAGGCACCATCTGTTGCATTCAACCAGGCGATGGGTGAACATTTTGCGACTCTGAGGAGGCAGAGCTTAGTGGGTACCCAAAAGTAATGTGGCTTATTTGGACTACATGATATATTGATATTGAGAGCGCTATTGAGTAGGGTCAGGAAGGGTGGAGATGGCAGCATAGAGTACAGAATGACATCAGTCACGAAGAGGTTTCTATGAGCACTGCTGCCCTAAGCCTGTCTGGGCTCTTGGCGTTGTCGCCAAGTCAAGAGCAGCCAAACAGATGGCTGGGATTTGCTACATTGGGATCAGAAGCCCTTGCAGTTCACAGGAGCAAACATTCCCCCTCCATGTGTTGTCCTCTAACACAGTTAAACCAATATCGGCTTAAGAAAACTCAAACAGAAATAACAGGAGAAGAGCTGATCATCAGGAATTGATGAATGTTGGAGACATGAAAGAGGAGTGGCTAGTACCTCAGACAAGGCTTTGGTCAGATACAGAAGCATGCTAGAATGGGGCTGCTAGGAGAATGCAATTGGGGGGTGTCTTGTGGAAGTGTAGGCAAAGAGAAGGGCATCAGCATGTAAATACTAAGATATCTGGACAAGAAATATCAGACAGCCACCATAGGCTAGGAACAAAATGCAGAGATGGAAAAATGGCTTTATTGATCCCCATAAGAATATGCACTGTGAAACAGGGCACCCTGACAGAATCTGTAATTACCTAAAATTGTATTCTCTATCAGAAATAGCTACATAAACAAGAGGGAGAAATGAAAGAATTGCTCTTATATTCTCCTTTCCAGTATCCTGCTGGAAAATCCTACTGGCCTAGCCCAGCTAGGAGCCAGATGACAAGAAGCCAGGTGATGATCCTGCAGGGTCTTAGTGGGGCAGATTGAATTTGGCAGAGATGCAGAGATCTGGTGGTACAAAGAGAGAGCAGTTGGCATAGATCAGGTTCACATACACTCTGTATCACCTACATTGTCAAGAGTCTAGCTCTGAACAAAAGTGGGCTCATCTACTTTTAATTCCCGTGTGCATGGAGCATACATAGAGCATGTTCTCTCATGCAATTTTTGATTGCATCCCTTCCTCTCTATTTAGATGTCTCTAAAAGGCAACTATATGTTTAGTCAAAAACTATACACATGTTTATTTCTGTCAAATGTGGTCCTCATATCACCTAGACACCATCATTTCACAGTCGTTCAATGTCAGAAGAAGAGGAGTCAAGCTCATTACACCCCTTTTTTTGCTATCTTTATAATATATCACATTATGTGGATGTTTTACATCCAAAATAACCCTCAACTTTGATGACATCTCTTAATGTACTCTTTCACTGCTCCCTGTTCTCTCCAATGTTTTCTCTAGTTCTCACTCTGCTTCCATATTCCAGCCTACTATCAGCTCTTCCTGGACCATGTTCTGTGCTATGTTCCTAGGTAATCTTTTTATTCTCATTATTGTTCTTTTCCTCTGCCCTCTATCTTTCTCCCCGCTCCCCTTTCCTCTGTATGTGCATGTATTTGCACATGTGTGTCAAGGCTGGAGGAAAACATAGGGCATCCTGTTCTATCACTCTCCAACTAACTCCCTGAGGGTTAGGGTCAAGGTTAAGGTGAAGCTTCTGTTTTCATCTCCTGTGTTATCTCACATGGCTTCCTATCACTTTGTATTCTTAGATTAGTTGATAGTAGTTTTCTGCTACAACCTCTTGTATTGTCATTTACATTCAATTACTTTGATTTCTTGTTTTACAACTCACATAATTCATTTTCCATTTATTAAGGCATATTCATCATACTTTCAGTATGATAAACATCACAAGGTGATTTTGTTTGGTTCTTCCAAAGGGCTGCCATAATAAAATACTATAAAGATGTTTCTTTACAGATACTGAGGCTGAAAATCCAACATCAAAATGGAGGTTCCCTTGGTGAGATCCTCCTTCCCAACCCGCAGATACTGACTTCTCTCTTTTTTAAAGTTTATCTCTTCTTCTCCCCATACTTTTATTTCTCCCTCTTTTTCTTTGAGCATTTCAGATCACTGCATGTTCTGAACATTTGACTTTTGCTTAGCTTTCTCTTATGATTGTGGTCAAATTACTCTTTTAATTACTCTTTTTTTCTTTTCTTTTTCTTTCTTTCTTTCTTTTTTTTTTTGTATACTGAATTAAACGTGACATGACCCTGTGGCTTCTCAGCATCTAATGGTAACCACTGGTTAGAATTAGGGAGCCTGTAAGATAAAATCTCCTAGGATCACTTTCATAGACCTTACTTGAGCTATCTGGGGAGAAGACAGCAAAAGATGTAGGTGAGGAAGCTATAATTCCACCATATGGTTCATTTGCATTGTCAATTGTGTTTCTTAGCAATCTGACTCTCCCTGTGTCCCTGAAGATGGGGCTTCCCACAGAACCTAATATCCAAATCCACCCTCTGGTTTTGACTTACCTTGAAGACACATCTGTTAAGTTGATAGTTCTACCTGAGAAACAAGAAGTGGGTGTTGAGAGGCTAGGGGGCTTCTCTATCTAATCTGGAGAAATCTATCCTAAGAAAAATGAATTCTAGTGTGCATGCCATCTTGTGGTACCAAGTGGTAGGAAGCTCCACCTGAGAAGAAATTCTCTACCTTCTGCAGACATGGGTGGAGGGAGACTGAGTTTGAAGATTTCAAAGTCAAGCCTGTCTTTGGGCATTTCTCAGAACAAAGGCACCGAGGCCACTTAGCTGTGTCCTGTTTTCTTCTGCTGCGTTACTCCTCCTGCCTTTGATAATATCTCTCATCTTTCTCAACCCTTCCTATTTTTTTCTTTTATCTTCTGTAGTTTGTCTTTGAATTTCTGATCTCATTTTCTCTGTTCCCTGGGATTTCTTATTGGTCTCAATTTGGAAATTGGAAATGCGGCCATGGACAAGTCACCAGAGGGTGGTTCTACTTGCATTGGCTTCACTAGCACTTGTTACTATCGAGATAATCCTATGACTTGTTTGGAGGTCTTGTTTTTTCCTTGATAAATTTGGGGTGCTGAGTCACGTGATTTACATCCCACAATGCTGTAGTTTTATCACTAAGCTATTATGTGGCCTTCACTAGCACTGTTGCTACACAGGGCAGCATTATTCATGGATGGCTTATGCAGAGATCTTAGCCCCTGTCTCCTTTCCTGTTCCCATGCATATTCCCCTTACTTTCATTAGTAATAGTTAGCAAAGATACTTAATTTATGTATGTCTGCTTCGTCTTTAAAGCCACTCAGTGATAAATCTTTGCCACTTAGATGAAATCTAAACTAAATATTGTGTATAAGGTGTCCTCATCCTCCTGCTTCATTTCTTAGTGCCCTCTGTGCAAACTCCATTGCACCTACACAGCACTCCTTTCTTTTACTGAAGGGCATCATCCCTCTCCTTTAACACATTCATTTGCTTAGGACACTCTCATCCCAAATGTCTTTTCACTCCAACCATTCTCTAATTTCTTTGGTCTGGGCCACTCATCGTTATGACCTCCAATATAATGCCTTTTCCAAGAAGGCTGCATTGACTTTCTGGATGGCTGAAGTACCTTGTTGTCATATTCTATATTCAGAATGGTTGTCTGATATTGGAACTACCCATATGTCCTACTGGATTAGAAATTATTTGAATCATGGATTTTTACCTAAACTTTCACCATCATTGCCCAAGGGTTTATACCAATGCTTAAAATCTAGTAGGTGATGGATAATGCCAACATTGTATCTGTCCTTATGCTTGTGAGTTGACTTGGAGTTTAGAATCATTAGTGGGTCAAAGATGGAGTTTCAGAGACCCCAGGTGGCTGGTCCCAGTCCCTCAGGGACTGAGAGCGGGCCAAGCCTTAACCTCAGCCCCATTGCCACCCTGTAGCAGCAGCTGAGGCGACACAGGAGACAGTGGAGTCCCTGATGCAGAAGTTCAAGGAGAGTTTCCGTGCTAACACACCAGTGGAGATTGGTCAGCTACAGCCAGCTTCGCGCAGTGCCTCTGCAGGGAAGAGGAAACGAAGGAGCAAATCTCGAGGTAGGAACTCCTGGCATCCGAGCCAGAAGACAGAGTCTGTCCTGTGTTCCCAGATCCTGGGAACCTTCTCCCTCACCTCCCTCTTGTTTCTATCACTTCTGCCACTTTTCTTCTGCTAAGCCTCCTTGAAGATAATGGGGTGTGCCCCTGGGGTTAGAGATAACCTCGCCGAGACTTATGCTGCCTCATCGGAGGATGACAATGAACACTCTAAATTTTAAAGTGGTTTCGAAGATGAGAGAAAATATAAGGAAAGTTCCTCTTACTGGAACTGCAAGCAGCAGGTACTCTCCTCAAGGACATCCCTACAAAGAATGCAAGAGAAGCAGAGCATTCTTGTAGAAGACATGAGAACTGTTGAATGGGAGTCAGAACCAGGAACACTGTTGTGGAACCACATTTTACAACCCTGAAGAATGCAGGGATTGAGAGCATTAGCATCATAGACTACATGGAACTTATTCTTATTTCTATTCTGCTACTGTGTCTGCTGGATCATTCTATGAGACTTGGCTAAAGTACATCTATCTCAAAGTGTAAGAACCTCTCATGCAATGACTCCCCCTCCTCCTTATTCTCTTTTTTCCTCCATCTTCTTACATCATCATTTCCTCTGACCACCTGTGTGACTTTGTATGTGGGAGGGCCCCACTTGTCATCATCTGATTTCTGAACATGCCCTTCTGTTTTTTCAGGCAGCCCAGTGATCTTTGGTTCACTGCTCCTCTTTGCACCTCTCATTCCTCCATCTACTGTATGTTTTCCCACGTTACCTTTTTTATGTTCATGTTTATGAATATGGCCTTCAAAACGACAAGATGTCCATATCTCTACTGATTCTACTCAATCTATGTGCTCTGATCTCCACACTCTTTCTTCTGGCATTCTCTCTCTCTGTGTCATAAATAAATAAACTGACCTCTATACATTATCTTTTCCAATTTATTCTCACCTAACTTATTCCAGGCAACAGGCTAAATGATATATACACCTTATTCAGCAGAACCATTTTTTATTAGGTGTAATAATTCACATTTTATAGATGATCTCACCAAAACAGAAAAACAATGGTTATGTGACAGAGGATCACCTAGAGCAGTGCTTCTCAACCTTCCTAATGCTACAACCTTTTTCCTACAGTTACTTTTGTTGTGGTAGACCCCCAACCATAACATTATTTTATTAGCACTTAATAGCTGTAACTTTGCTATTAATATGAATCATAATGTAGATATCTGATATAAAAGACATCTATCTGATTTTCAACCCCTATGAAAGAGTCATGACACACAGGTTGAGAAAAACTGCCATAGAAATTGATAGAGCCAGAAAATTTCAACCAACCAGAGTCCCAAACCTAGTAGCTTATCTACAATGTCCTGTACTTGTGAAATCCAAAGTATCTTTCTAAACACTTGAATGGTACACTACATAATGATGTTATTACTTGTGACAGTCATAACTCACTATGAAGTCTCCTGGATTTTCTTTCTAAATGTTAATACTGGTTCCCTGGGTATATGATAATTTGCTTCTCTCTGGCTCCTTCCTTAGCTGGACAGAGTTTTGGGGGTTGCCATCCTAGTTGAATGTTATTTATATCAAGACCCAAATCAGTGTTTGAAAACATGGCGGGGTGGTGGTTGGTATTTATTTTGATGATGTCTAGGTCCTGATTCTGTGAACTTTGGATCAGGATGGTGAAAGGCAGACAAGATTTGCATGTTTATGGGAGGCCATACATCAGAGCAGAACAATTAGAGTTCATTTTTAGATCTCACTTAGTACACAGCAATTTCCCTGAAGTCATCAATGGCCGTGTACTAATGCTAACCCGGTCACCTTCAACTTGTAAGACTTAGGAAAAGCCATCATTTTCTTTGATTTTCAGTTTTCCAATTCCCTAAAATGAGACTCATTAGACTATAAGAATGCTATAGCAGTCTAGTGAAATGCTGAGAAGGCTCACGCAGCATATATTGGAAGTACCTAAGTGCTGTCCTGGGTAGTTTCCTGAGTTGCACATTCAGATCACTTAAAAACCTCCCCCAACTTTACCTACACATCTTTACTTTTTCAAGTTTACCAAAAGTGCTCCTCTGCCTTCTTCTGTGTTTACATCACATAAACCTATTTGACTTCAAGTAACTCACTTCTGTCTTTTTGAAGACTAATCTGACTTCACTTCTTCATTTATCCTAAACATCTTTATGTCATCTAACCCTTCGAAACTATCCACTTTGTGCATCACAGTTTTTATAAGCAGACTTCTACTATAAGACAATTGGGCAGTTTTTCACATTACATTAGTATTTCTAAAACTCCACAGAGAGTTCTTCAGTTTCATTCTTTCTGAAAATTTGACCTTCACTTTGTAGTCCTGTTTCCTATGAAAGCAGAATTTCAGGATGAGATTGTTACTGGATACAGGGCACTTTACCTAGACTGGGAATGGATACAAAATGATCACCACTTGCTAATTAGAAGAAGACTCTGCATTCTAATGAATAAACGCAAGTGTTGCTCCTCATTGTGTGTAAAAACCCTTCTGCCTTTCTTTGTCACCTCAGAACTGCTGTCACTTCTTGCTTTCTCTTTATGACTATACCCTGCTTGGGATTCAGTCTCCCGAGGCAGAGCAGCTAGCATACTTCCTTCAAAATCCTAGAGCAGTTAAGGTTTGCTTATGACCTTAGGTAGTTTCCCACTCTCCTTGGAAGAAAATCTGAATTCTTAACTCTGGAGTGCGGACCCTGTACGACTATGTTCTTGTCCCTACTCCTATCTCTAATGCTGTCTGCTCTGATTTTTGTTGCATTTTAACCAAACTGACTGCTGCCAAGATTCATGAACACAGCTAGCACATCCTTTCTTCAGAGTCTGGGAACTCACTAGTACTTCTGGTGCACTGTTCTTCCTTCATCTTCCATTACCAACAGCTACTGTCCTACATGATTCCTTATCACCCTTCATCTCTCAGCTCAGATACCAGCACTTTCTCCCATGTTGATGAGTCAGAAGTTTTTTCTCTTTTTGAATTGGCAACCATCTGTGATATCGGCATGCACATATATGGAATATAGCCTAAGATTATTTTTCTTCACTTGTTTGCTGTCTTCCTCTCCTAAATAGATGCTTCATATTTATAAATTTAAAATATATAAAGTATTTAACAATTGTGTGCCGAATATATGAGCATCTGAAATCACTTCTAGTTTTATGTTTTTGGAATTGACAGTGTGAAAACTGTCCTTGCTGAACAAAAGAAGCCTAATACTGATCTCTCAAAAATGCTACTCATTGAGAGACAGACAGACTTACTGACAAAGTAGTGATCAAACCAATGTAATTAAAGCATTACTTAAATAGTTCCCAAGCAATGCGGTGGTGTTTCTGTTGCCCACATTGGATCTGGATGCTGCTGGAGAGGAGGAAGGGGCATAGTGTACATTCACACCCATTCACCACAAGCTAGAGAGATGACTCAGGGGGTGAAGCACTTGCTTGCAATCATGAAGCCCTTAGCTCAGATTCCCCATATCCATGTAGCAAGCCAGGTGTTCTGGTACATGCCTGTTATCCCAGTGCTGGGGAGACAGAGGCAGAAGTGTCTCTGGGACTTCTTGGACAACTACTTTTGCTGAATTAATCAACTCCAGTTCAGGGAGAGTGTTTGTCTCCTAAAATAAGGTGGAAAATGACAGAGAATGAAACCAGCTGTTGTCCTCTTATCTCCACATATATGTGAATGTTCAGCTACATATACCTAAGAACATACACACATTTATAACACACACACACACACACACACACACACACACACACACACACACACACACACACATTTTCCTGGAGAGCAGTATTTCACAATCAAAATTCTGTATACACCAGCTTTTTGGAGATTTCTGTCTTGCTTTTAATTCTGTTAAGACTCTCGAAAGCCTGCAGTATGAAAAGCAGAGCTGCTCTGTTGAATTCACTGTCTGTGATACCATCTTGCCTGCAGACTATTTTTACCCTGGAACATTTATTAACATCTCATCCAACAGAAGCATCCCCAGAAACACAACTTAGAAATGCCCCATTACCCCTCACAGGCCACCAGAAAACTTAAATATGAGATGGTCTGACTATCCAGTCTTTCGTTGTGTCATTACTCCCCCTGCCGCTGAGGTGGCTGTGGGCCTTCTGGCCCAGAATGAGAGCACCTGGCCTCTCTCTCTGCTTCATTAGGCTCCACGCCCAAAGTGTGGTGCCCAGTAGTTCCCAGCAGATGGAATGGGTAGCTGAGAACCAGTGTCTGGAATTGAGCACATGGATAAAAGCAGTTCCAATGTATTTCCATAGCTAGTTTTCCCTCCTAAGAGGCCTGGTAGTTGCTAAACTGTAGCATACCTCATCAGACAAGGAATGCTATTGGAGGGCTTAATTGCTGCCTTCATGTTTGTGACATGATTTTATGAGGCAGCTGTTAAGTAGCCACTCCCCAGTGACCTGAAGGCTGTGAAAAGGAGGGGCTACATTCAAATAAAGCTGAGGAGGTTTTCTTCAAATGAGAGGAAGAGGCTCCTGCAGTTTAGACAACAGTTTTTTCTTATATAAATTTTTATTTAAATTAAAAACAATCTTATTTTACGTACCCAGTTCCCCCTCCCTCTGGCCCTCCCATACCCCACACCAAGCCCCATCCCACTCCCCATCCACTCCCCAGGAAGTGTGAGGGCTCCCATTGGGGCTCACCAAAGTCTGTCAGGGCAGGGCCTAGGCATTCTCCCTGTGTATCTAGGCTGAGAGAGTAACCCTCCATAGGGAATTGGTTCCCAAAGTCAATTTGTGCACTAGGGATAAATACTGGTTCCACTCCCAGAGGCCCCATAGAATGAATGCCCATGCCTCCCAACTAACACCCACCTTCATGGGGCCTGGTTGGGTCCTATGCTGGTTCCCTAGCTGTCAGACTGGGATCCTTCAGCTCCCACTTGCTCAGGTCAGCTGTTTCT